CCTGAACCTTCCCAGGGGCAAGCAGTCAGTTGCTGCTAAATGGGTTTAGAGTTGGGTTTAGGGTTTAGGGTTTAGGGTTTAGGGTTTAGGGTTTAGGGTTTAGGGTTTAGGGTTTAGGGTTTAGGGTTTAGGGTTTAGGGTTTAGGGTCTAGGGTCTAGGGTTTAGGGTTTAGGGTTTAGGGTTTAGGGTTTAGGGTTTAGGGGTTAGGGTGTAGGGTTTAGGGTTTCGGGTTAGTCCCTAAACCTAAACCCTCAATACGGGTCTAGAGTTCCAGGGTGCATCCTCGGCTCCCATAAGCCTGAACCCTTGAGTCCCACTGCAGGTTAGGGTTTAGGGTTTGGGGTTTAGGGTTTAGGGTTTAGGGTTGAGGGTTGAGGTTTTAGGGTTTAGGGTTTACGGTCTAGGGTTGAGGGTTGAGGGTTGAGGTTTGAGGGTTGAGGGTTGAGGGTTCAGGCTTCAGGGTTTTGGCTCAGGGTCTGTAAGTTGCATAGGATTCATAGGGTTTGTAGGGTTCACAGGCTTCGCAGGTTTCAATACATTTCAATAATTTTGTGGGGTTTATAGGGTTGACGTGGTGTTTGGCAACAAAAACAAAAAAACACCACCATAGTCGGAAACAGGCTGGGGGGAGTCCAACCTCGGTCTCGCTAACCTGGGTCTGAGGTTTAGGGTTTAGGGCTTAGGGTTTAGGGTTTAGGGTTTAGGGTTTAGGGCTTAGGGTTTAGGGTTTAGGGTTTAGGGCTTAGGGTTTAGGGTTTAGGGTTTAGGGTTTAGGGTTTAGTTGAGTTCTAAGAGAGTCTGGGGAGACCGCGTGCCATGTCTCTCTGCTGCTGCGTTGTGGATCGGATCCAAGGCAGTTTATGCTAGTGTAGGGTTTAGGGTTTAGGGTTTAGGGTTTAGGGTTTAGGGTTTAGGGTTTAGGGTTTAGGGTTTAGAGTTGAGGTTTAGGGTTTAGGGTTTAAGAGCTCCACGAAACCCAGAAAACCCTCAACTCTGTCAACCTTTGCCTTCCCTGAGAAGCCCGAAGGTGTTAGGACCCTGAAGACCCCAAAAGAGAGAGCTCTAACCCCTAAGGTTGTTTAGGGCTTAGGGCGAACCCTGAAACAAGCCTGGTTTAGGGTTTATCTGAGAAGAACTCAACATACCCCAAAGCCATACCCCTTAACCCATAGAAGGAGAACATAAGGAAGGATTCTACCATGCCCCTTAAGTTTCTTGAAGTATGCCTTCAAGGGGTATCCTGAGCATTTCTTGGAGTTTAGATTTTGGGGGGGGGTCTCGGGAGCGCCTGTAGCCGCCGACATCATGGCCTTATTCCATGTCAGCAAATGGCGGGCGCCTTAGCTGGGCGCCCGCAACCCGCCCTGCCCAAGGACTTGTGCCCAGGATTTCGAACCCTCAGCCCTGTACCCTCAACCCTAAACCCTAAAAACCCAAAAACCTTAAACCCTGAACCCTAAACCCTAAACCCTAAACCCTAAACCCTGAACCCTAAACCCTAAACCCTACACCCTAAAACCCTAAATCCCTAAAACCTCTGAGTCTTTGGATGAGAGTTTCCCCTTTTGAAAGACGAACGAGAGCCAGAAGAGCCGAAGCTGACATCGTTCCGGCAGTGCTTGTCAGCCTGCCTTAGCGATTCTGTGTGCTCTATACCTCCTGACCATCCCTAAAATCCCTGAAACCCTAAACCCTGAAGCCCTAAACCCTAAACCCTAAACCCTAAACCCTAAACCCTAAACCCTAAACCCTAAACCCTAAACCCTAAACCCTAAACCCTAAACCCTAAACCCTAAACCCTAAACCCTAAACCCTAAACCCTAAACCCTAAACCCTAAACCCTAAACCCTAAACCCTAAACCCTAAACCCTAAACCCTAAACCCTAAACCCTAAACCCTAAACCCTAAACCCTAAACCCTAAACCCTAAACCCTAACCCTAAACCCTAAAGCCCTAAATCCCTAAAGCCTCAACCCTGAAGTCTGAGTCCCTAGATCTTATGTCCTAAACCCTAACCCCCCTTAAACCCTAGATTCCTAAATCCTAAACCCTAATACCTTACAACCTGAACCCATACCTTCGACCCCCTCATCAAACACTTAAGATCGTGCAGTTGCAGGATGAGGGTTTAGGGTTTAGGGTTTAGGGTTTAGGGTTTAGGGTTTAGGGTTTAGGGTTTAGGGTTTAGCCCCAACCCCCAACCCCCTGACCCCTAACCACTAACCCCTAACCACTAAACCCTAAACCCTAAACCCCAAACCCGAAACTCCCAAAGGCTGACATGGGTGCTGAGACATGGTGCGAAACAGGCCAGGTATGGGGTTTCGGGTTTAGGGTTGAGGGTTTAGGGTTTAGGGTTTACGGTTCAGGGCTCAAACCCGAAAGGCCTGAATCTCTACACCCTTCAGGGGTTTAAGGTTTAGGGTTTAGGGGTTTAGGGGTTTAGGGGTTTAGGGGTTTAGGGGTTTAGGGGTTTAGGGGTTCAGGGGTTCAGGGGTTCAGGGGTTTAGGGTTTAGGATTTCCCTTGAGGACTTCGTTCAGGGCTTCGTGCTGGGAAAGGGTAGGCGGGGCAACTCACGCGGTGCATTTCAGTCGCGTTGTGCAACCCTAAACCCTAAACCCTAAACCCTAAACCCTAAACCCTAAACCCTAAACCCTAAACCCTAAACCCTAAACCCTAAACCCTAAACCCTAAACCCTAAACCCTAAACCCTAAACCCTATAAAAACCCTAAACCCTAAACTCTAAACCCTAAACCCTGCTTCGAGGCCTTATAATCACTGCAAAAGCCTAAGCCCCAAACTCAGCCCTAAATCCTGAAGCGCTTGGGGGCTGAGGGGTTTGGGCTTTAAACCCTAAACCCTAAACCCTAAACCCTAAACCCTAAACCCTAAACCCTAAACCCTAAACCCTAAACCCTAAACCCTAAACCCTAAACCCTAAACCCTAAACCCTAAACCCTAAACCCCAAGCCCTAAACCCTAAACCCTAAACGCCAAACCCCAAACCCTAAACCTTAAACCCTAAACCCTAAACCCTCAACTCTAAACCCTAAATCCTAAACCCTAATCTCCAAACCCTAAACCCTAAACCCTGGTCCGAAACCTTAAACCCGAAACCCGTAAGCTCAAAGGGTTTTCGGGTGTTGGACGCCTTCTCGGCCTCCAGCTGAACATCAACATCCACCGGCACGGTTGGGTTGCGGTGGACGACCTGCTGAAGTTGAGGCGCCCAGCCGTGAGTTTAGGGTTCAGGGTTTAGGGTCAGGGTTTAGGGTTTAGTGTTTCGGGTTTAGGGTTTAGGGTTTAGGGTGTGGGGTTTAGGGTTTAGGGTTTTGGGGTTTAGGGTTTAGGGTCACTTCTCAAATGTATTATGTTTTTTTGGGTACCCTAAATATTAAGTGCCGCCTTATAATGGCAAGCCCCCTTTAAGAGAATTCCCCTGTATGAACCATTTGGGGTTTCCGGGTTTTGGAGTATAGGGTTTGAGGGTTTCTGGGTTCTTGGGGTTGACTTTTCTTTCCCCTAAGCCCTAAACCCTAAACACGGGGGTAGGTACCTAGAGAACCTTAGGGAAGCTTAGGGAGCCTTAGGGAGTAGTGGGGGGAGTATTAGGGAACCTTGCGTTACACACCCCCTTGAACCCTAAACCCTAAACCCTAAACCCTAAACCCTAAACCCTAAACCCTAAACCCTAAACCCTAAACCCTAAACCCTAAACCCTAAACCCTAAACCCTAATCGTTTTCTGGATTTTCGGCCAAAACCGAGCCTTCACCGATAGGGGCTTCTAAACCGTAGGGTTTAGGGCCCTAAGAGCATAAAGGGCCTATTGTGGGCCTTAGATTAGATTTCGAGTTTGGGGTCCGTTAAAAACTAAAATATTTTCCTAATGTTATGGGATCCAAGGGGTGGGTGGGTACATATTCGATACCAGAGTAGCGAGCTTAACTAGTGAATGCTTGAACTGGAGATGCTGAACCGTAAACCCTAAACCTAAACCCTAAACCCTAAAACCCCCCTCCCTTAAGAACCCTGTAAACCGAGTTAGAGGACGGAGGGCACAAAGCTGAGGCCCCGGACACCTGGCTATGGCCCTAAACTCCTCGTAATCGGGTTCAGGGGTTTAGGGTTTAGGGTTTGGGGTCTGGGGGTTTGGGGGGAAAGCTTGTTTGCAGAAACCTGGTGGCTCTTGACCAAGCCCCGAACCCTGACACCCCAGCAAGCTTCCAACTCATGGCTCCCCTTTCCCTCAGTTGGAACCCCCCCCTTGTTCCCCATCCTTTGTCATACCGGTTCTTAGTAGGGAGTTAGGCTGGAAGGTTTAGGGTTTAGGGTTTCGGGTTTCGGGTTTCGGGTTTAGGGTGAGTTAGGTGCCCTCAAAACCCTAAAAGGGACGGTGTATCGACGAACCACTGGGAGATCCAGGAGATCGTACGGCCACGTGCCGGCATTTTCTCCACCCACGCGGGTTTGGGGTTCAGGGTTTTTGGCTTAGGGTTTTAGGGTTTAGGGTTTAGGTTTAGGGTTTAGGGTTTAGGGTTTAGGGTTTAGGGTTTGCAAAGATTCCCTGCCACTTAATGTCTTCATGGTTCCATGCTCACCTCTTCCGGAGTTATACAACCCGGATTGTACCCCCTAAACCCTAAACCTGCAATCAAACCAATAAAATCCTAAATTCTCTGGGTAGTGATGGGCATCGTTCGGAGATCTCCAAATACCTGGGCCTTATGGGCGGGTTAAGGGTTTGGGGTATCGGGAGAAGGGTATGGGGTTTTGGGGTTTCGGGTTAACGGCATGGAGTTTCGGGTTTAGGGGCTGGGGGTTTCGGACTTACAGTTTGGGGTTTAGGGTTTGGGAGTTCGGGTCTGAGGCTGAGGGTTTAAGGCATGCGCTGAAGGCATGTGTTGAACGCGTCCAGGGAACCCTCCGGGGCTAGAATGCGCGCTGCAGGAATGAGCAGCAACTAGCGATCCGAGGGAAGTGCTTCGACACCAGCC